CAAGTTGCCACACGTATTCAATGGTATTAAGGGCGCAGTTACCCGGTGGCGGCTTGTCATTAAATTATAAATAACATTATCTTTTTAGTGGGTGATTTTGTTTTATTACTTAGTTGATAGAAGATAGTTCCAGAAGCGGCCCCACAGGAAGTGGACCTGGTCGAGCCCCGACGGTTCCACAAAAAATGAGATTGACTTCATTATGACGACCAGACGACAACTGTTCAGTGATGTCTCCGTGATCGCGAGGGTGAAAACTGGTAGCGATCACCGAATGGTTAGAGGCACACTGAACCTAAACGTTAAGTTGGAGAGGTCTCGTCTAATGAAGTCAACGCTCCGTCCCCCTCGTGCTCTGTTCCAAAGTCCCGAAACCTTTCAGCTCGAGTTACAAAACCGTTTTCAGTGCCTGGAAGACTGCAATGAAGTGGACGATATGAATGACAAGCTCGTGGAAACTGTCCATGCGGTCGGAGCTAAGTTCTGCAAGACCCGCCGCAGAAGAACACAAAAACTCTCCGATCACACTCTTAATCTCATGGCTGTTAGACGGGAGATGAAGCTACATTCTTCAACAGACTTGACAGCATACAGGCATCTGAACAGACAGATCTCCAAATGCATGCGGCGGGACTTACGCAACTTCAATACAGCTCGTATTGAAGAAGCGATCGAGCGGAACCAAGGCTCCAAAGTCTTTGCCAGAGATCTGTCTGCCAGAAAGAGCCAACTGTCAAAGCTGAAGACAGAATGTGGCAGCATCGTTTCCGGGACACCTGAGATTTTGAGTGAGATTGAGAGGTTCTATGGGCAGCTGTACACATCATCGTTGGAGCCACACGCAAGTGTGAGTAACGATCCAAGAGCGAGTCTCATCCGACACTATTCCGAAGATATCCCGGATGTCAGTCTGAGCGAGATTAAAATGGCTCTCCAGCACCTTAAAAACGGTAAGGCCCCAGGCGAGGATGGAATTACAGCGGAGCTTCTGAAAGCGGGTGGAAGACCGGTACTTGAAGTCCTTCAGAAGCTCTTTAATTCTGTCCTCCATGGTGGCATTACACCGGAGGCGTGGAGCAGAAGTGCGGTGGTCTTGTTCTTCAAGAAAGGTGACAACGCTCTCTTGAAGAACTACAGACCGATTTCCCTTCTGAGCCGCGTCTACGTGCTGTTTTCGAGAGTCATTACGAATCGTCTCGCGCGCAGACTTGACGACTTCCAGCCTCCCGAACAAGCCGGTTTCCGAAAGGGCTTTAGCACCATAGACCACATACATACCCTTCGGCAAGTTGTACAGAAGTCCGAAGAGTACAATTTGCCACTATGTCTGGCGTATGTGGACTATGAGAAAGCCTTTGATTCCGTCGAAATTTGGGCGGTGCTGCAGTCCATTCAGCGGTGCCAAGTTGACTGTCGGTATATCGAAGTGTTGAAGTGCTTGTACAGTAGGGCTACGATGGCTATCCGAGTACAGAACCAGAATACGAAACCTATCCAATTGCAGAGAGGTGTAAGACAGGGTGACGTCATATCCCCGAAACTCTTCACCGCTGCATTGGAAGACGTTTTCAAGCTTCTGGACTGGAAAGGATACGGTATCAACATCAATGGCGAGTACATCACTCACCTTCGATTTGCCGACGATATAGTCCTTATGGCAGAATCGCTGGAGGACCTAAGCACTATGCTCAATGACCTAAATAGTGTTTCCCAACGGATAGGTCTTAAGATGAACATGGACAAAACAAAGATCATGTTTAATGTCCATGTCACACCTATGCCGGTAGTTGTTGGGAGCACTAAGCTCGAAGTTGTTGACGAGTATGTTTACCTGGGACAAATAGTCCGACTAGGTAAGTCCAACTTCGACCGAGAGGTCAATCGACGGATTCAACTCGGCTGGGCAGCGTTCGGGAAGCTACGACACATCTTCTCGTCAGACATACCTCAAAACCTTAAAACGAAATTGTACAACCAGTGCGTGTTGCCAGTGATGACTTACGGAACTGAGACGTGGTCCTTCACTGCTGGCCGTATGAGGAAGCTCAAGGTCGCTCAGCGAGCTATGGAGAGGGCTATGCTCGGAGTTTCTCTGCGTGATAAACTTAGGAATGAGGATATCCGCAGTAGAACCAGAGTGACCGACATAGCCCAACGGATTAGTAAGCTGAAGTGGCAGTGGGCCGGCCATATAGCTCGAAGAACCGACAACCGATGGGGAAGAAAGGTTCTCGAGTGGCAGCCTCGTACCGGTAGGCGAAGTGTAGGGCGTCCCCCCACGAGATGGAGTGACGACCTGGTAAGACATGCAGGAAGTCGATGGATGCAGGTGGCTCAGGACCGTGCTTTGTGGCATTCTTTGGGGGAGGCCTATGTTCAGCAGTGGACTTGTGAAGGGCTGTAATGATGACTTAGTTGATATAGAAAAAATTTTGTTCGATCGCCTAAATATTCAATGCCAACCAATCACGTAAAACACTCTTTTTAGAATATATGGTTGGTATTTTGTTCGTTTCAACAGTGTTATAGGATGCGTTTCCCATCACGATTATCAAGTGTGGTGGTATATATGGCAACAATTTATAATAAATTGTTTTCCATAGAGCTAGTGTTCCGTTTAAGAAGCATTTCCCGCGTAGACAATAATCCAATTTTATAATTTCACTATTAGTTGACGAATGCTTGCATCTGCTGACTGTGTAATGAGTAGTGATCGGCGTAGGTAGTGCTATTCTCGGGATTTAGTGACCGTTATCTTAACATGGATATGCCTTCTGAATCCCGAGAAATATATTACTTATTTATTTTATATTATTGTATATTTAGAAATATGGGTGCTGTCATCGCGCTACGATCCTAAGCAATTCTAAGAAAATAAGGTAAATGATTTAAACAGTAAATAGAAACTATACAATATGATTTCATGAGAAATGGGGACGTCTCTTGATGACACCACTGACTTTCCAGGCAGATATGTTGTAAATTTTCTAGTAGAGCCACTAGATTCTGGAAACTATCTGAGGCCCTATATAAGGCCGGTATAGACCACGACCGAGACAGTATTGAATTGGCGATACAAGAGAATACTTCGAAGCGAAATAACGGCGAACTGTGTTTTATTATTAGTGTGATTTTAGATTGTAGTGTTAGTGTTGTGTAATTAAAGTGTCAAGTTTGGTAATTCAATCGGCAGTTTTTTAATTGTCTCGAACCCCAAGCTCGTAACAGTATTATTAATAGAATCAGGCCTTACTTTGCTGAAATTTATTATATATAATTGATAAAAATTATTAAACGTATTAGTATTATACACGGACAGTATGGCGTACATACTTTTGACAGTATTTTTGCCAAATATGAAGCATGTGACATGTTTCGCTCACGCTCTGCATAGTTTTAGAAACAATTCGTTCCGAATTGACATAGACGCCTAATTTCAAATGTAAATAAGGTTTTTTTTAAAGGTTCCCTGACATGCTTTTACCTCCAGAACCCGTAACTACAAGGTGGGCAACTTGGTTACATGTTGTTTCATATCATGTAAAATATTTTAATGAAATAAAAACAGTTTTGTCACGTTTGAGAACATCACGCGCGGGACCAGCTTATACCAGAAAAGAGTAGTTTGATGTGTCGTCGTGCGTACTCATGATATTTTAAACAGCTTAACTTAATTTAATAAATCTACATTCCTGGAATCCCAGGCATGGCCATATTAACATTTCATTGACACACGATCACTAGTAATGAGATACACGTTTTGTTAAGATACACATAAGTTTTTCAGCTCCGTGTACGTCGTTCTCCCGTTCTCTTATATTTGTTGTTCAATTAACAGCAATCTCTTTTCGAACATTTTTTTAAATGCATAACCCAATTTTTCTTTCATAATTTTTCTTAACGTAGTTTTTTCCCTTAGGAAGATTGATATCTTGTTAGTTTTAATCAAGATTTTTCCAATTGTAGGTATGTTTTTTCGTGCTTCGTTTATACGTTCAATTTTACCTTTGATTGCACAGATATTAAACTTGTTAATATTTAATTATCTTACGTGAAGTTGCTGTAGTAAAAGCGCCTTTATCTCGGACACGTAACACCGTGTTTTTGGATATTCATGTGGCAGCAAGAGTTCATGTCATAACTTTCTTGTATTTTGGAGCAAACCCATAAATTCGTCAAAAAGATCTCTAGGCAACATAATTCTTGAGTCATTACATTCATTATCTATAGTCAACTGTGTCATCATTTTCACTAATGCGTTAAAATACCGAGTTCGTTGTTGTTTAAAATATATATTAACTCCAAATTTTTCAGCCAGACCGCCCCTTGATTTTGATGCCCCGTAAAATCAATCGACTTTTCCAAATTTTAACTCTCCATTAATTAATTATTAATCTAATAACTAAAGTAATCAAAAAAGGAAGTAAAAAAAACATCAAAAACAAATCACGAGCAAAATAAAATCCCACACTTACAAAAAAACTGACAAGTTAACAACATATCCAATGGTCTCTTTTCATGAGCATCAACGCTAGTTTGTCGATGCTATCGCCACCGGGCGTACTGAGTGTGATTCAGCTACTTATTCGCGTAATATTGCACACCTTCACGAATAAGTAAAAGTTTTAACGTGATAGAGCCATGCTGCAGCTATATTTCGGGTATAGTTGTAGCACGTATGGCTCGGCTGGACCGGGGAAGAACCACGCTCTCACAGAATACCAGCGTAAAATAGCAGCTTAATGCTGCTGTTTCGTATGGTGAGTGTAGAGAACTGGAGACCCTTTTTACTGGAAAAGAGGCATTCCATCTTAGTCCTCAAGGCTGACAACGCATCTGGATTTTGATTCGCAAAGAAGGATAGATGTAGAGGTATATGGACCTCAGCAACCACTTACCATCAGGTGGACCGTGTGCTCCGTATTCTATAAATTCGTTGTCACCGTATTTCTATAAAAAAAAGTAAGGGAGAGATAACGAGCGGGTATGTGGTGCGACAGAGACGCAAGAGGCGCGTAGTGCGGCGCGTGGGGTGCGCGTGGCCGTGCCCCGCGTCGCACCCGGACCACGTGGCGCTGTGGGACGCGCTGCCGCCGCCGCCGCCGCCGCCCGGCTCGCCGCCGCCGCCGCCGCGCCGCGCGCCGCCCGCCGCCCTGCTGCGCGCGCGCGCCGCCCGCCCCGCGCGCGCCGCCCGCCCCGCCCGCCCCTCGCCGCCCTGCGCCCCGCTGCGCGCGCACCACAAGCTCGGTGAGTCCCAGCACCGCGCCTCCCGCGCACACCCCTCGCCTCACTCTTGCCAGTTGCACACCCGCCGCCAAGCGAATCGCTGCGCATACAGACACGGTAAGTCACACTTCCCTCTACCCCAGGCGCTCTGCGGACCGCAGCGCGCACGCGTGCATGGCAAGTCAAATTCCCTTCGGACCCCGCCACAGTAGTGAACGCTATGCGCGAACAAGTACGGTGAATCACCGCTGTGAGCCCCGTGCCATACCCCTCGCGACCAATACGCTCCTCGTCCCCAGCTGATATACAGAACGCTGCGCACATACAAGGTGAGTCATATTGCCCTCGGCCACCAGCTACCGTACGGGTAGAACCATGCTAGAACAGAATGCTAGCTCCAAATGACAACATAATACTGCTGTACTTCCACAGTAAAGAGTGTAAAGTTCCAGAGACACCCATCTTACTAACAGGTAACGAAGCATTCTATATTCGTCCTCAGAAGTTGTCAACACATCTGCATTTTAATTTTTAATCGAAGATATACTGTTTTCCGAGTTGTCTAGCCTAAATGGTAAAGAAGTTCGCAGAGAACCTGGTGCAATGTTTTGAAATACTAATCTTATTGTCTGACAAAGAGCAATATATCCCTATCGTGATTGATTTTTGTGCTTTCCTTTTTTGTCTTTTAACAATAGTATTATCAACTACTTCCGAAAAACAAGCTGCAGCTGTATTATGAATGGATCAACTTTACTGTGGAAGGTACAATATTGTAAGGCTTCCTTCCACAATAAAATAATAGCTTAATGCTACTGTGTTTAACAGGGCTTAAGCTTTCCATTTTAGACTTCAAGAGTGACAACGCATAGTTTCATTTTAATTGGCATCAGCATTCACTTACCATTAAGAGACCTGTGGGATCGTAAGGTACCCTTATTTTATATTAAAGACCACGGGTGCGTTATCTATTCTCAGAACTAATATAAAATCCTCACCGGCTGTATGCTTACGATAAGAATAACACTGTCAAACTGATATTTCATAGGTATTTAATACATAATTAATACGTAATTCTTTTATTTCAGATACAAATTCGCCAATCCCGGCCTTCATTCCATCGGAGCCTCCGCCCAGTCTACTCAACTATCCGTAGAAGATGATCAAATTATTTTTACTAATTCGAATAGTACATGTTATATTTTTAAGATTAAAATGTAAATATATTACGTATACATAAAGTTCGTTTCTTTTAGTTTATTAAGACAAATATTTTTATCTACCCATAACTATATCTCGATACTTAATATGTATTACCCTCGGCCACACACTCATCGAGTGGCATAGAAGTATCGAGAAAAGGAGGCAGAGATGTAGTGTGGCCATAATACTCGTCATGCCGCACGTTATGCTCCTCGTCATGCCCATCTCTCCCTGTTTTGTCGGCTTTTGGGCGCGAGTCAAAGGACTAGCAATATGAGCGCGAGTGGCTGGCCACATACTCGCGCGAAAGCAGTCCGAATAGGGATGTTCCGATACCATGAAAGTATCGATACCTACTCATATTAGTAGTACTCAAATCATGTTTCGATACTACTCATACGAATACTCCTAAAGTATCGATACTTACTGATATCGATACTTTTATATTTTTTTAATGAAATTAACGTAGCAAATGTTTTAAGTCCCACAACGATCTATTCTGCCCTACTACTTTACATAACATCGTATAGTTCCAACCAGTGAACTAACGAACTATTATGAACCAAACCTAAGTACCTAGTTCGTAGTTTGTATTTGACTCATGCCAATGTCTAAAGTTGCCTGAATTTCGCGGTATGTCACATGTCGATCTTCCTCAATCGGCTTACGCACAGCATCAACGTTTTCTTGAGTGACTGCAGTTTTTGGACGACCTTGACGGGGATCATCACTGAGCTTGACACGTCCACGTTGAAATTCAGCAAACCAGCGATAAATTGTGGTTTTGAATGGGGCTTCATCACCAAATGCAGAAATCATCCGGTCAACACACTGTTTTTGTGTTAAACGACTTCGAAAATCATAATAAATCATCGCTCTTGAATTTTCTCGAGTCAATTCCATTTCCTCAACGACTAAACAAGTTTGACAAAACCTTGTGATAAGACCGAGAATATTTTTTTAAATAAATAAATGGTATTCGATTTTTAAAACCAAGGAGTTTTCAATTAAAAAGATTTAGACAGGAACAGTGGAAATATTCCATTCCCGATACTTTTAGTGCAGCCTATGTATTCGCAGATGATCTAAAATTAAGCTTGGGGATTGGCAGTGATGCTGATGCACAGGCTCTACAACAGGACATAGATGCGATATCGGAATGGAGTAAAGTGAACCCTCTTCCCTTTAATGAGACTAAACGAAAGGTTAACTTAAATTGTAGAGTCCCTCAGAGAAAAATTTAAAGAAATAAACATATTAACATTGGCATCGCAATATATTTATGAAAATGTAAAGTATGTATATAAAACATAAATAGCTATGATAGAAATAAAGATCAGTGCCTGATTTGAAGTTCCGACAGCCCTATGCTAACTATGAATATGCGCCCCCCTCACTTTACTCATAGAAAACGCAAACAGGCAGAACATATTTGCAACTGCAATTGTTCGTCTGAAATTCAAGAGTTACATAAAAACCTTACAACAATGCTACAAAAATTCACATAGACACAAGAAACAACAATACCCTCATGCGTGAAAATATAGTAAATATGAAAACCCGGTTAAATTATATCAAAGAAGCTCCTGTAAGCCTAAGCAACGAGCAAAAGTCAATAAGTCCCAGCTGTCAGATCTAGCTACGAAAAAACCAAATATGAAATATTCAATGAATATTTTTTTTTGCGAACATAGGAGGAACATAGGAACACAACTAGCGAAGAAAATACCGAGTGAGTTCTATAACAACACCACACACACAGTACCGAATCTTGATCCTGGCATGTCTCACCGTACAGTCTCAATTCGATCCATGCACTGTCAATGCATGGATCGAATTGAGACTGTACGGTGTATCATACTATGCTACGTATCATCTATGCCGTGTAGTGGCGGTTAAGAATATCCACTACCCCATATCTTCCCGTGGGTGTCGTAAAAGGCGACAAAGGGAAACAGGCAGGAGATGGGCAGCAGCATCTTCCTGGTAACGGCAAAAATACAATAAAAAACTGCGGTTGCCAACCCGCTCGCCAAGCGTGGCAACTATGGCAATATACCCCCCATAATGAAAGTTACGAAGAGACGGCCCCCAGTCCCCGGCGGCCCCGCTATTCCTGGCTACGGTGGCGACCATGGTAACGGCGGGGCAGGGGGTGCTAAGAATCTCCGGTGGAGGTTCGGTTGCCACCTACAACGACTCGACCTGGCAACATACAACGCACGCACCCTGAGGACTGACGAGAAGATTGTGGAGCTGGAAGAAGAGATAGACAAGTTACGCTGGCATATTATAGGATTATCCGAAGTCCGAAGAGAGGGGGAGGACACGGTAATCCTCGAATCCGGCAACTTTCTCTATTACCGGGAGGGCGACCATCTGTCCCAAGGAGGTGTCGGATTTATCATCCACAAGTCTCTCGTTAACAACGTTGTAAAGATTGAGAGTGTGTCGACGAGGGTTGCGTACCTTATACTCAGAATCACCAAACGGTATTCGCTGAAGGTCATACAGGTTTACGCACCAACCTCGGCACACCCCGATCAGGAGGTGGAGGAAACGTATGAGGATATCTCTAGAGCCATGCATTCCTCCAAAACCCAATATACGGTGTTAATGGGAGACTTCAATGCAAAACTAGGCACAAGAGAGAACGGTGAGCTGAAAGCGGGGAAATTTGGAATAGGGCAACGGAACCCAAGGGGCCAGCAGTTGGCCGACTTCATGGAGAAAGAGGGACTCTTTATGATGAACTCTTTCTTCCAGAAGCGGCCCCACAGGAAGTGGACCTGGTCGAGCCCCGACGGTTCGACAAAAAATGAGATTGACTTCATTATGACGACCAGACGACAACTGTTCAGTGATGTCTCAGTGATCGCGAGGGTGAAAACCGGCAGCGATCACCGAATGGTTAGAGGCACACTGAACCTAAACGTTAAGTTGGAGAGGTCTCGTCTAATGAAGTCAACGCTCCGTCCCCCTCGTGCTCTAATCCAAAGTCCCGAAACCTTTCAGCTCGAGTTGCAAAACCGTTTTCAGTGCCTAGAAGACTGCAATGAAGTGGACGATTTGAATGACAAGCTCGTGGAAACTGTCCATGCGGTCGGAGCTAAGTTCTGCAAGAGCCGCCACAGAAGAACACAAAAACTCTCCGATCACACTCTTAATCTCATGGCTGTTAGACGGGAGATGAAGCTACATTCTTCAACAGATTTGACAGCATACAGGCAACTGAATAGACAGATTTCCAAATGCATGCGGCGGGACTTACGCAACTTCAATACAGCTCGTATTGAAGAAGCGATCGAGCGGAACCAAGGCTCCAAAGTCTTTGCCAGAGATCTGTCTGCCAGAAAGAGCCAACTGTCAAAGCTGAAGACCGAATGTGGCAGCATCGTTTCCGGGGCACCTGAGATTTTGAGTGAGATTGAGAGGTTCTATGGGCAGCTGTACACATCATCGTTGGAGCCACACGCAAGTGTGAGTAACGATCCAAGAGCAAGTCTTATCCGACATTATTCCGATGATATCCCGGACGTCAGTCTGAGCGAGATTAGAATGGCTCTCCAGCACCTTAAAAATGGCAATGCCCCAGGCCAGGATGGAATTACAGCGGAGCTCCTGAAAGCGGGTGGAAAACCGGTACTTGAAGTCCTTCAGAAGCTCTTTAATTCCGTCCTCCATGGTGGCATTACACCGGAGGCGTGGAGCAGAAGTGCGGTGGTCTTGTTCTTCAAGAAAGGCGACAACGCTCTCTTGAAGAACTACAGACCGATTTCCCTTCTGAGCCGCGTCTACGTGCTGTTTTCGAGAGTCATTACGAATCGTCTCGCGCGCAGACTTGACGACTTCCAGCCTCCCGAACAAGCCGGTTTCCGAAAAGGCTTTAGCACCATATACCACATACATACCCTTCGGCAAATTGTACAGAAGTCCGAGGAGTACAATTTGCCACTATGTCTGGCGTATATGGACTATGAGAAAGCCTTTGATTCCGTCGAAATTTGGGCGGTGCTGCAGTCCCTTCAGCGATGCCAAGTTGACTGTCGGTATATCGAAGTGTTGAAGTGCTTGTACAGTAGGGCTACGATGGCTATCCGAGTACAGAACCAGAGTACGAAACCTATCCAATTGCAGAGAGGTGTAAGACAGGGTGACGTCATATCCCCGAAACTCTTTACCGCTGCATTGGAAGATGTTTTCAAGCTTCTGGACTGGAAAGGATACGGTATCAACATCAATGGCGAATACATCACTCACCTTCGATTTGCCGACGATATAGTCCTTATGGCAGAATCGCTGGAGGACCTAAGCACTATGCTCAATGACCTCAATAGTGTTTCCCAACGGATAGGTCTTAAGATGAACATGGACTAAACAAAGATCATGTTTAATGTCCATGTCACACCTATGCCGGTAGTTGTTGGGAACACTAAGCTCGAAGTTGTTGACGAGTATGTTTACCTGGGACAAATAGTCCGACTAGGTAAGTCCAACTTCGACCGAGAGGTCAATCGACGGATTCAACTCGGTTGGGCAGCGTTCGGGAAATTACGGCACATCTTCTCGTCAGGTATACCTCAAAACCTTAAAACGAGACTGTACACCCAGTGCGTGTTGCCAGTGATGACATACGGAACTGAGACGTGGTCCTTCACTGCTGGCCGGATGAGGAAGCTCAAGGTTGCTCAGCGAGCTATGGAGAGGGCTATGCTCGGAGTTTCTCTGCGTGATAAACTCAGAAATGAGGATATCCGCAGTAGAACCAGAGTGACCGACATAGCCCAACGGATTAGTAAGCTGAAGTGGCAATGGGCCGGCCATATAGCTCGAAGATCCGACAACCGATGGGGAAGAAAGGTTCTCGAGTGGCAGCCTCGTACCGGCAGGCGAAGTGTAGGGCGTCCCCCCACTAGATGGAGTGACGACCTGGTAAGATATGCAGGAAGTCGA